TATTTACTATAAACATGTTGTGCTATCACCTTTCTCTAAAATATCTGCTCTTTCTGTTGATTAGTAACACAAATCATGATCTAATTTGAACAATGCCATCGTTTGTGTTAGCTAAACAACTTACACATGTACAAATTAGTCAGAATTCCTTCAACTTTTAGTTTCTGTGCCTTTGGTTGGCTATGACTAATATTATTCCTCGAACATATCTGATAATTTGTCTGGTTAAAGAGGAATGCTTTCTTAAAGTTATGAATTTAACTAGCTTTGATGTGCAGTGTATTTCATTATTAGATATTATTTGTTTGTTTGTTTGTTGTTGTTGAGGTTTTTTCACTTTTTACTCAATTACTCATAATTTTGCTTTTCAAGTTTACACCACATAAAAATCGTCTCAACGCTAAAACCTCTGAAAGATCAGCCATCCGCAAGAAACGTAAGTACTTAGTGCAAATAATGTACTACAATCAAAGACATAAATAAACATTAAATAGAAGAAAGTGACGAGAAATAAATAAGTAAATAAATAGACTTTAAAAAAAGAAGTGTATAGCCAACAGTCTCCTCTTCGTATTTATGACTAAACCATATTGCTGTTGACTTTAGCATGAAATTTAGTGTTTCAAGAAGAAAACAAGAAAAAATATTGTGTGCGGCCGTTGTAAATAAATCTGCATACAATTACCCAAACAGGCTCTAATTATTTGTTATCCGGTCAGAAATAATGTATACACTCAGTTCGTATAGTCATGTCAACTCGTTTCCATAAAAACACATCATAAAGTCACCGTTACCGAAATAAATCCGTAGGCTCAATCAAACAGCGTGGCAAACATCAGTGGAGCAAACAAAAATGCCAAAATTTAGGTTGGAGCTCTCTCCCACTTTGTTTCAATTATGTAACCAAAAACGTTTCTATTGGTTAGTTGCTCGGACACACGTCATAACCTATTGTGTTTTGTGCACGGTGAAGGTCCAAAAAGCGAACGGAACGAAGCGAGGGGGGGAGGCGTTGAAAAACTATGTAGCGTAGCATAATTCCACATTCCAAGAATTACTATTTTACGTACGTTTGGTGTGACGAACGCGGCATACCTAAAGGGGTCTAGGGAGACTGCAAAAACGTGGAGTGGGATTGGAGAGAGAGAAAGTGTCGATGCTACAAAAGAGAGCTTCTAGAATCCACGTAACTTCAAGTCAAATCCTGCTTGTGGGCTCCACAACCAATCCACGTAAAAACCATAGTGGAAAGAGCTTACATTCATGTTACAATGTAATGTGAAAAGGTTATAAAATGGAAAGAAATTATGGTATATTTTAAGCGTGGTAGAGATATGAGAAATATATTATTCTGTCAGTGACAAAAGCTACTCGGAAAAAAAATTCCGAGTTCCCCCAACAGGAGTCGAACCTATGACCTTCCGCACACCGGTCGGACGCTCTACCACTGAGCCACAGGAAACTCGTGGGAGCTAAGGCCATATAACTAGGTTTCAAGTGTGACAAACATCCCGCATACTGCTAGGATTAGAATTGTCGATGAATGAGAATTTGTGGAAAGAAATGATGGTATATTTTAAGCTTGGTAGAAATATGAGAAATATATTATTTCAGTCAGTGACACTGACTGAATAATATCTTTCTCAGGTTATAAAATGTGTGTAGAATAATGAAATTTTTCATTTTGCAGTTAAGATCGCAGCATCCTTATGCAGAGACATTTGTTGGACATCCATTAGTTTATACAATTAACATTTGGAATAAGACAGAGGTGACAAAAACAATAAAAACCATTATAGGCAAACAGGTGAGAGGGTTATCAGCAAAGTTCTGAATTCCATCCTTTTTAACACACGGCTTCTTGACACTTTTTTTTTTACTTTTCAGGTGAAACCATTTGTTCCTTTCGAATTTTCCTGCGAAGGAATGCTGGAAAGATTAAATGCTTATATCGAAAATCAGGTAAGACCAACTCTATCTGCAGCCTGACTCGTATTTGCTTATCAGTAATAATATGAATTCATCGAAAACATTTCCAACGACACCATGAGCCGCTAAGCTCTAAATCAAAGCAGACCGCTGAGTTGACCGTAATGTATTCTTGCTTATTTTAAAATTATTTTTTCTGGATCTTCTTGTAATATGTTTGCTGTAAATCGTATCCCTTATCTCCTTTTCTTATTTCGTTTCTTTTTTCGTGGCTTCTCGCCGCGAATGGTTTCATTTTTCTCATGTCACAAGCATGAACTGAAAGGTTGATTTTGCTTTCTTATTAAAAGGATTTCTGTGACAGATCGCACCAGTGGCCACTTCAGAATGACGACTTACAAATCACCATGGCACGTGCTGGGACATCTTGTACTGACACATGTTTTAGAGAAGGTACCTTGCTCTTAGAGTCACCGTTAGTACTGGTAAAATTTGATTTAATGAGTCAACAACCTTATGTACATGGTAGTTGAGTCACGTTTTTGGCGGCTTTTTCACGAATCTTAACATTCAGTAATTAATTTTAAATTTGCCTTGCTAGTAAGTTTTCATTGTCCAAAAGTCAGTCTGTTTGAACATATTCCAAGGCTCGTTACATTATTTGATGAAATAGGCCATTTCTGAGTTGTCATTTGCTTCTCTTTCAAACGAATCTTCGTGCAAAACCATTCAAATGAAAATGAGTTTGTTTGCATGAAAAGGCACATGCGAGTAAAACTCATTTTCATTTGAATGGTTTTGCACGAAGACTCGTTTTGAAACGGCAAAAGACAACTCGGAAATGGCCTATTGCATGGTAATATAGGCAAAGATCCCTTCATCCATATTTTCGTCAAAACTAGCTCGTGCTATTCCCCAAGTCACTTTTGAATTGCATACCTGGTGCTGTCCTCACGAACGAATTCACAAAGCAGCAAAGGTAAAACGTACACCCACGAAAACATTGTGAAGATAAGAAAGGATTGAAAGCAATAAACGAGGCTGGGGTAAATATTGAGCAAGGGAAATAATTTGCTTTTTAAATGCCTATTAGGGCCACACAGACTAGAGAGATAGTTGTCGACAAACTATTTAGTTGTCGATCATAAAACGTTGTCGATAACAAAAAAGCCAGTGTGTGAAGAGCTAGTTATCGATAACTAAGGCCCTTAGTTATCGATAACTAGCTTCACACACTGGCTTTTTTGTTATCGACAACTTTTTATGATCGACAACTAAATAGTTATCGATAATAATTGGCCTAGTCTGTGGAGGCCCTTACAGTGGCTTAAATGAAACAAAATACAATTACAATAGGGTAAAGAACCAATCTAATGAATATAAAATGATTCTACACTTCTCACTCTTGAAGAGGAAACAAGTGATAATGTCCACTTTGATCACATGACAGTTACTTCCAGGAATGTTGCATTAACGCTAATATGCAAGCTCCACGTCATCAACACAAAATGAAAGTTACATTAGAAGATTTGTTCTAGTTGAATCATGAATTCATCATCAACATTCCAAAAGACACCAGGGGGTAACATTCCTTCCATTTATTACAGTGTCAAGCGAATAACCTGTGATACTCATACAAATGGAAGATAACTAGTATTTACACTGGTTATTCTCAGGGTTCGCCAACTATACCGTATAAGTTATATAATTAAATCATTTCCAAACTGAATCACTCTTACAGTGCGACTACTGTAACCCGGGGGCCACTAGGCAATGAAAACTAAATCACATATTGTAGAGCGGAATAGAGAAATTCAACTTAATTCCACGTTGAAAGGTTGTATTGAACTGAAAACTTATTAGCTCAAACAACTGAAGTTGAAATTCTTCGTTTCCATTCTGTAAGATGGTTTGGGTTTTCTTTGTCTAAGTGGCCCCCCGGTTATAGTAGTCGCACTGTAAAAATGGTTTAACTGAAAAAGAACTGAAATCGTCGTAGTGTTCTCAAGATGGAGTTGTTGCATAAATATTACACAACATTATTTTCGGTTTCTTTGTTTTCCCAGGTCTGGCATGTGAACCAGAGTATTTTCCATCTCTTAAATTCCAGGTACTATTCCAATATTCTACTCAGTCTATAACCACATACCTACATCATCGTAACTTAAAGGAGCAATGTCACGATATTTGAAGTCATTTTTGCGAAGTGCAAAATCACCTTCAAACTGAACAAACTCCTCAAAATAATAGTTTGCTAAGGTAGAAAAAACACCAAAGAGGTGATAATAGACCAAACATGAACAAGGATGGTTGAGGATGGAGAAGAATTTAAGGCGGATAGCCACAATGCCGAACTTGAAAAAATTGGCAAATTTTTTTCAAAGATGCGCAACCGTGCGTAGCTACTTTAACTTATATTATATGATGGGCCAAGACCCAGTGAACTATTTTGCAGGTCATGACATATTTGTGGACTCCAACAATGTAACTTCTTTCTTTGCATGCGGTTGTAATAATGAGCCGTTATGTGTGTTAACGGAAAAACGCCTTATGAGAAAAACTGCTACTTACGCAGCGGTTTTGTACTGATTGCGGCTGCAAATGAAACAACGTAGAAATCACAACTGAAGAAGAAAAAAGGAACCAGGGGAATCACGAATCAGCCAAATCACGAATAAGTCGCCAATAAATGAATTTTCCATTACCATTAACAGCGTAAATGATTTTGAGATAATAAATATTTTTTTACGTTTTCAGTAACGTTTCCACCTGTGTAGAAGTTATATCCGAGGAAAGCAATGTAGCTCCAGCCATAGAAGGAGTCACTTCAAGATGTGTGTTTCAGCAACAACCTCTTTTATTCAGTTGTGCCGGTCACCATCCTTCTTACAAGAGATTCTGTCCTTGCAGACGTTACAGAAAAGGACAAATAGCGCTCTGTAAAAGTTGTTTTTGAAATCGATTAAGTCTTGTAGAAAGAAATGATGGTATATAATTTTTGAGCTAGTTAGAAATATGAGAAAGATATTATTCATTCACTGGCACAAGTTCCCCGGAAGAACAATTCCGAGTTCCCCCAACAGGACTCGAACCTATGATCTTCCACACACTCGTCGGACGCTCTACCCTGAGCCACAGGAGACTCGTGGGAGCTTTGGCCATATAACTAGGTTTAAATAACATATTTCTGTGATGAACTATTTAAACATCTGTTAAAAAAAATTGTTATGTCAAAAAACTCTTTATGTTTAAAAAGAGCTTGTGAATAGAATACGAACTTGGAACTGGTCGACTATTTGTATAAACCACTTTCACTCAGTTCAACCACGCCTTCTCAATTAGAAGATGGTACTGTTTGTTGACATTGTGTATTATCGTAATTAATCTACTTGAACCATTTATGAGGAACTCAGAACTACAGAATTGCAGAGCCTACTCCAACTACAGCATGCACAGCTTTTGGATCTCATCCAACGTACACCGACAAAACATTAGGAACTTGAATAAAATGGAATTGTTCAATTTTGGATGCTAAATGAATGAAAATTTTCTGACTTTTTATCAAAACGCAAATTTCCAAGTGAGATCCGACGAGAACATCGATGAATAAGGCGAAGCAATAGCTTGAATATATGCCGGGATATATAACGACCTCAAAAGAAAACCGGATGTAGTTGCATAAAAGTAGACTAGAAGGGGAAAGCTGTGTATTATAATTACTCATTTCACACACGATTGGGAAGGTAAAACTAAGACTACTTTATAAACAACGTCAAAACAAAATACAGAAAGGTGAAGCAACTGCAACCGTCAACGATACAATTTAAATTTCCTGTCGCTGAATTTTAAACACCCGTGGGTTTCGTAGTGAAGCGGTCCGCTATAAACGTGTCCAAGAATTGTTCGCGTTTATTCAATGAATATTCCTCTGATAGCAATGAGAGCAATGAAAGTCAATGAGATCAAACGAAAGCGTTACAGTAATTAAGTGAGACCCAAATATATTCTGGAAATCGAATTAGTGGTTTAACGTCATCAGTATGGAATTTCTGGCTGTAAATCGCAGACGACCTTTCTCGCCGGACGCTGCAAGTGGCGTGCGATGGAAGGCGGCTGTATTTGCAGGCTAAGGACTCTTGGACTGCGCATGTCATGGCGGAACGTTTTATCGCAGAGTCTCGAACATAGTATCTCGTTTTCCGTTTCCGCTGGATAGTAACGAGATTGTGGCGCGAACGGCTATTATATATCTGCCTGCTGTTTGCCGCGAAAAACTACAGTGATTCTAGAGCTGAAATGTTATAGCGCCTGGATTGTCAAACCGCAAGTGACCATGGTACTAACGATACGTTTTATTTACCTATTTAATTAAGTTATAACGTTCTGATCGTCTAAAGCAAAGACATGCAAAAATTAAGGAACTCGACGTTTCGGTGTCATCATGACGCCATTATCAAGAGTAAGAAAAATATAACAAAGCGAATATTATATAGGTTAGAGCTGAAATTTACATAATCAATGGATGGCTAAACAAACACTTTAGCGCGAATTGAGTCCGTTTGCACGTTCAGTTCTGGTTTGAGTTTGCGTATGAATAGCATCTCTTTAATGAGGCAATCAAATTTGCTGGTGCATTTCGCATGCACGTGAAACTGTTCTAAAAGACACTGTGGTTTCTGGCCATTGTGTTTTGCTGGTAGTGTTTGTAAATGGAAGATGACTTTCTTTTATGACCGTCCACGCGCTCGTGCAGGTGCCCACGCGTATAGCTCACATATCCTGCATCGCACAGGTTACATTTAAACTTATAAACTACACATTGTGATGATGAATATATGATGAATTAAATCATATATATATATATATATATATGAACTGCGGAAATGAAATGAAATGGAATGATCATCGCAGTTGTTAATGCAATTTAAGCAATTGCAATTAAATTTTTTTAATTAATTGCAATTGCTTAAATTGCATTCACAACAGCGATGATCATTCATTCATTTCAAACTACACATTGTTGGTTTACAATAGTGGGCTTAGCTTCTTGCACCTTGAGATCTTCATTGAGCTTCCGACTTACAAACACAGGTTGGATGGCGGTTCTTACTTTTAAACTTAGATTGCTGAGTTGCTGTTCACAACGTTCGCTGAACTTTGATCTTTAAACGGTAGAATGACTCTAACAAAGTTCGTTTTGTTTTTCTAACTTATTTATCATTCATTCGGTAGCAGCGCTACAGTTAACACTTTTACCGCATTTTCAATTCTTTCTAATTTAATTTTTTACAAAACACATGGACTTTTTTAATAAACCTGAAACCAACACCACGTGACGTCTCGGTTTTATTCTGATCACCATTCAAGACTAAATTACAAATTCTCAGTTTCATCTCAATTTGACAGCAAACATCACAAATCGTCGAATCAGTTTTCATCCCGTAATGTGAACTACTATTAATTATGTCAACAAAACATCTGTAAGATACTTCACTCCCTTCATTTACTGAGGATCATCATTTTAGTAAGTAAAGGAACCAGTTTAATTTGTGCAAGAGAGTGATCCAGTTGGCCCGTGGTACCGAGAAAGAAAACTATCTTAGTCCAGGGCTTAGTTTTGTGAAACATTTTTGTGCGACAAACGCTTAGTGGCATAAAGAATATCATGAAGAAATCATCTTGTGAATTATTGCTGCAGTACTACCCCAAAATCTCCGAACTTGAAGACCTTCGTTCGACTTACATCGCTAATTGTGTCTTCAACAGTTTTCTGTCCTATACCACCATCATATTGAACATTGTAACAATCTACGCGATAAGAAAGACTGCGTCGTTGCCAAATACATTAAAAACATTGCTCCTGAGTCTCGCTGTTTCTGATGTTGGTGTTGGTTTATTGGGCCAACCATTTTACATCTCACTTCTGGTCAACGGGTTACAACAGAAAATTCCAAGCTGTAACACATATAAGGCTTTTGATATCACGATGAGTAATTTTTCTATAGCTTCATTCTTGGGTGTTGTGGCCATAAGTGTGGACAGGTTCTTGGCGATTCATCTTCATCTCAGATATCAGGAACTTGTGACTCACAAGCGTGTTGTTGCTATGGTGATCTCTATATGGGTCCTTAGTGCATTTCTTTCTTTGTTAACGTTGTGGGTTCCACTCGACATTGCTTCCCAGATTATATTCATTATTGGAGTTGTTTGTCTCCTTTTTACAACATTGGTTTACATCAAGATTTATTTAACTGTACGACGCCACAAAAATCAGATTCAGGTTCTGCAAGTACAACAAGTAGCACAGAATGGCGAAATGACAAATTTTGCCAGCATCATAAAATCCGTTGTCGATATATTCTTCGTGTTTCTTCTGTTTTTGGTTTGTTATTTACCTCACTTTATCTGTTGGCCGCCCTTGAAGTCTACGGACCGAGTATAGCTTTGAAAAGACTTTATCTTTTCTCATATACTCTCGTATATCTTAATTCATCTCTTAACCCTGTAATTTACTGCTGGAAGATGAGACACATTCGACACGTTATCATGGACATACTGCGGGAAATGTCTTGTCAAAGAGATCATCCATGACACTAATCGTAAGGGAGAACATGCTATACCTTGATTCCTCGACGCCTCCTGTATATAACAAGGACCGCCAGAATTCCGAACTCGAGCTGTATAAAGACAAACGAGAAAGCCTAATAAAACTGACTCACAGTAAAACAGACATTGAAAATAAATTTATGCCATATATCAGAATTAAAGAGAATATGTAGCAATGTTGTTCCGCTTTGTAACCGATGTATAAAATTAAAATTGTGTTCTTGTAAAAGGTGGTGCAGGTATTCATCTATTTGCATTCTTTCTCTATTTTGTAAGGTGTATTTTATGTAGCTTGCAGTTAAGATCAGTTTGGCGTGTGTTTAAAACGTGTGCGTCTCTACTAGTGTACATTATGGTCGTCTAGCCGTGGTTGGCCGGTGGGTGATCTTGGCAGTGCTTCTTGTATTAAACTAGCTGGCATGCAAATGAGCTCCGTCTTTGCCGCTTGTCATTGTAGCATTTCGGCAATCTTGGTGGGTTTTCAGCATAGGATTTTGTTGCATTAAATGTTACATTGGTAAACCTTGGCTACTCGGCGTAACAATGTGGAAAGCATAGCGTATCTTCAGCATTGCATTCACATGTTAACAGAGAAGAGATAGAGAGAGCGACAAAGCTATTTCGATATTGTTATATTTTTCTTTACTGCGGTGTTTTTATGCAAAGTACGAAATTGGTTGGGAGATAATTGGACGAGAAAAGTTGAAAGCTTGTACATGTTATGTAGGTTGCGAATCGTTACAGAATAATAAATAATAAAAATTTGAGTTGCGCTCTGACAGTCTTCTTCGTTTAAGATTTATTTGTTTACTGTAAACATAAAAAAAATCACTTAATCGCACTTACGGTAAACAAATTAACAAAAATATCAAATTACATGCGCTCGCGAGAAAACAAAAGTATCAAATTACATACGCTGGGAGAAAAACAAAAGTATCAAATTACATACGCTTGCGAGAAAAACAAAAGTATCAAATTACATACGTTTGCGAGAAAAAACAAAAAGTATCAAGTTACATACGCTTGCGAGAAAAACAAAAGTATCAAATTACATACGCTTGGGAGAAAAACAAAAGTATCAAATTACATACGCTTGCCAGAAAAACAAAAGTATCAATTACATACGGTTGCGAGAAAAACAAAAGTATCAAATTACATACGCTGGGAGAAAACAAATTAAAGTATTAAGTTACATACGCTTGGGAGAAAAACAAAAGTATCAAATTACATACGCTTGGGAGCAAAACAAATTAAAGTATTAAGTTACATACGTTTGCAAGAAAAACAAAATTGTAGTGATATTGCCCTTTCTGGGATACGATTTTCTCCAAACAGGACACAATAAAGGTAAACAGCAATAACATTTGCTTTGCTTAGAAATAGCCCCAACACACACTTTGCAGATGAATAGATATTGTTGCAGTCTTCAGTGGCACCTAGTTGTGTCTGTACGTAAGCCTTGCCTTGAACAGCAAACAAAGCTGCTGTATTTTTTTGTCCGTTGATAAAACAAGTTTAGGAACTAATCTCTGGCGG